CTGTGGAAGGGTGGGTGCAGGAGTCCCTGGAGGGGTTGGGGGGACAGTGGAAGGGTGGGTGCAGGAGTCCATGGCAGACATGGAGGGGTGCAGGGGCCCTGGGAAGGGGCTGGGATGTGGGACAGTGCGGTGCTGCCTGCTGCCAGGCCCTGCCGTGACCCTCCCCGTGTCCCCCCAGCTCGAGGGCCCAAGTGTGGCACACGGGTGCTCAGCCACCCGGGAGCTTTGCGCTGCCCCCTGGATTGGGATAAGCTCAGCAGCAGGAGCCAGCGCGTGGGAGGCAACCAGGCTCCACCTGGGGTGCTGCAACCAGGCCCGGAGGCGGCGTCTTCTCTGTGGCTAAGGGACTCGTTAGGCTCCTCTCCGTCAGCCTGGCGTACGCGGTGAGTTCACCCACAGGCCTGGGTGCTGGTGACCTCTAGGTATCCCTGATTTACAACTGTCCTTCAGAGAAGCAACACTCAACTGGAGCTGTTCAAGCTTTCTGGCTGTTTAGCAAGTCCAGTCTCCGTGGAGCCACGAGTCGCTTGTCTTGAGGTGCTTCACGGACCCTCAAGAAGCAGCAGCTTGTGTGTATACAGCCCCTTGGCAAGATGAAACATGTAGTAGCGTCATCACCGCTGTGTAAGTTTTCAGATGTCCTACTGCATTATATAAGCAAGGTCGGACTGCCCACTGGGATCTGCAGGCGTGCGTGTCCTCTGTCCCCTCTCCTGGCCAAAGCCGTGCTTACGTCAGCCTGGTGAGTCCCACCTGGAGATGCTCTCCCTGGAGCTCAAAGCAGCAGCTGACCTGGGCCCAGCCAGCAGGGCACGTTTCGGGGCACCGGAGCTGCTGTGAAGGAGCTCTCACCTGCAGGAGGAGGGACCCTCGAGCAGATGACTGACAAAGTGATGAACGGGCGGGTGCCCCTGCCTGAAAAAGCCTTGTCGGAGGGCTATGCCCGGCTGCGGTACAGGGACACCTCGCTGCTCATCTGGCAGCAGCAGCAGCAGAAGCTGGAGTCTGCCCCTCCCAACACGTACCTGAGTCGGAGCCGGAGTATGTGGTACTCACAGTACGGCAACGAAGCGATCCTGGTACGGGACAAAAACAAGCTGGACGTCTCCAGGGACACGGGGCAATCTAAGTTTTGTGCTATTATGTAATTTCAGTGGATTTTCATCAGCAATCCACGCATGGAGAGAAACCAGACTTGCATCGAGCTGGGAGAGTTTGCACCATCCTAACCTGTGGCTAAAGCAGCGTGTGTAGGATAGGTCAGAAAGGCTGTCTGAAGTTTACATTTATTTTTGCTGTTGGTAGCATCAGATTTTGCATGACGTTGAGCGTGTGTAATGAAAACAGTCCTGCTCAGGAATTCACGAGACTGTGTTAGCCGCCTCTCATCACCGGCAGGGTCCGTGCCAGACCATGCGTTCCTCCAAAGTGGCTTGTGTAGCATGAGTAACACACACTGTCATTTGGGAACCATCCCCAGCAGCCACTTGCACTTGCTAGTTCTCATGCGTTACCGTGGTTCTGCAAACGCTGGCTGGGGTCAAGCAAGTCCAGGCTGGTTTCCACTGAAAGACCTTTTTTAGGAAGATTGTCTGCAAAAACACACAGTCCACAGTCGTTACTTGTTCTGCTTGCCATGTCTCCCTTTAATTACTTGCCTGGAAACGGTCTGTTACGACCTGGTTATGAAGTGAAAACGTTTATCTCGCAAAGAGAAGAATGTATTGATAATTTCATCTGAGCCTTCCAAAGAGCTGGCAGGAGAAGTTAAAACAGTTTTGTCCTGTGCAGAGCAAAATGCCCTTTCTGATGCCAGAGCCTTTGGTATTACGGAAATAACAGCTAAGGACATGATTTTATGGAGTCAGTAGAGCTGACTCCATTCACACAAACAGACCCCCAGCCCCAGGGCAGCTTGCATAAGTGACAAGTAATGGCTCAGGAATGAACCCCCTGAAAGGGAGGGACAGGCTTAAGAGAGCAACAGGAGAAAGCTACTGTAAACACACACATCTCCCACTAAGGGACGTAAGGAAACTCCTAAAGAGTTACATACCTGCAGTCAGAGATCAGTTACAGAAGAAAACACTCTACTGAAGTTTGCTTAGTGTTTAAGTCTTAATGCATGCAGTAGCTTGGAAGGATTTCTTAATTCTGGTTGGGTAACACCTCTTGTTTTAATACGTTTGGCACCTATATTTTAAAAGTTTTGTCTGGGAACGTTTGTTTCAACTAAATGAAGGATTTTAGGATGGAAAAAATACTACAGTTTTACCTTTTGGGGATGAAAACCACCCTCAGGTTCTTGTTTCTATTAGAGCTGAAACCCTAACTTCCTTCAGGGAAGATCAAGCCCTTGAGAGCTCGTGTCAAATTCAAACTCAGTCCAGAAAGCACCTAAGTATTACTAAAGACATAGCAGCTCTGCTTTCGGGGCATTAATTATGTGCCTAGGGTTAAGCATTTACGTATAATATTGGGCTGGAGTCGTAGATGCCTGTTTGCGTTCTGCTTAGGCCTTGCCCGTGCCGCGTGCTCAGCCCGCCGCGGCTCAGCCAGCAGAGCGAGGGCATATGCTTAACTTCAAACAAAATCAGTTTTTGATGTTGACTTCAATATGGATTAGTCACCTGTCTAAAATTAGGCACAGTCATTACTTCTGTCTGTTAGGTTGATCTAAAACCCCTCCCTTTAAACTTTTTTCAAGCACTTTATTTTTTTGGGTGGGGGGAATATGGTGAAGAGGAATCTTCTCCATCTCTCCACTTTATGGGTTAAATGCTAAAACTGAGAAACACTAAAGTGAGCTGATCTCGATGCACTGAGTAGAGCATAGCTGTTCTACTGCGAGATCACAGGGGCTTTATGTACTCGGCACTGAGGTTAGCATGTGTATTCACTGCAAACCATGGGCAGCTCATTTTTTAATGTAGCTATTTATGCATGTATTGCTGTTTGGTACTTTAATTTGCGTGCTCATAAAATTAAACCTGCTAAGATGGACATCAGTGCTTCATGCATCTGTGCATTGTATTGCACACCTGAATAGTCCTCTTGATCTCGCCAGGACTAGCTCTGGCTGAGAAAAATTGGGGGAAAAAGCGTGTTTCAGCTGGGGAAAAAGCAGTTAATGGGATTCACAAAACTAGCTAGGCTCAGAAATCCGCCAGCAATGGTGGCAGCGACTCCTGTACGGAGCGTGCTGTTGAAGGCAGAGCACCGCTGGGGCGCGTGGCCCACCCCAGGGCGCCAGCCCTTGGCTGAGCGAACAGGGCGTTATTTATATGAAGGGGCAGGAGGCTGGTCCGAGAGCTCCCCGGGACACAGGCAGGAGAAGTGGGGCTGGATCCTCTCCAGCAGCCCAGGGCAGAGTGCGAACTCACAGTTTAGGGAGCTGGGGAGAACAGCAGCTCTCCCCAAAGCCAGCTGTTCATTTTCTTTACTTTTCTTATAGAAAAGACACTTTAATTTTTTTATTTCAGTAAGAAAGTTCATTATTTTGGGTATAATCAGGCCCTTTTTGTTTATGTGGCTGGTAAACCAAACCTCATTTATTTAAGCAACGTTAATTAGGACTATTCAAGAGTAAAGACTTAAGTGTGCGCACAAGTTCTTTCAGGGCTGAGGCTCTACGTGACAGTACAGGAAAAGAGCGTGGCTTGTTCTTCCATCTCTCTCCAACTGTAAGCGTATTATTTTCCCTATCTGTGTGTCCTTATTAGTCACAGCAGGTTTGTGGAGTGGCTGCTATGAAGCGAGCATTTCTGTAAGCCAGTTCTGTAGTGCTGATGCACTTGTTTTAAATGCAGTTGTAGCCTTTTTGGTAAGTAAATTAAAATGATTTGAATGCATCATTGTGAGCAGCTGTTTTTCTGTTCCATGTTAATCACTTTAGCACATCCGAGGATTACAGCTATTATCACGCACAATCCCAGCCAAGGCATAGGAGCGAAAGCTCAGCATATAGGCAGTTCTTACCAATTAGGAGCTACGTTCGTTACTGGTGGAGCTGTGGGGAACCGGCTCCCTTTAAAGAAGCCGCACCGCTTTCCTGGCAAAGGCTGGCCGCATCCAGGAGATGCTCCACCGGGGGCTGCTTGGCCCAGGTTGCTGATCCCAACAGCCCAAAGGCTTCATGCAGACTCAGCCGTGCTGCACGGAGGAGCGAGAGCCCCCGGACATCATCACACATGCAAAAACCTCTACGGATGTGCGTATCGGCATGAGCCGGATCAGCAACCAAACCAGCCTCTGCCCTCCTCCCTGTCTGTGAGAAGCAGCACAGTTTTGATGCCCCAAGACATAACTTCCTAGCAAATACTAGAGAAAACAAGGAACAAGAGCATAGGATTTGGGGCGATTTAGTGTAAAAGACAAGACTGAGAGAAGACCTAAGAATAATCTTCCAATACAGGAAAAGGCTACTGCAAAGAGGGGCCCGGGCCCCTTTGCTATGCCTACGGTATTTCAGAGGTGCCACAAGCTCACCTGCAAGAGAGGAGGCCAGGGCTTGCCTACAGGGACAAGCTTCCGCCGCGAGGATGGCAAAGCAGCGAGTCGTGGGGGCAGAAAATGCCTCCCGGGAGGTCTGGAAGGGACAGGCGCAACAAGCGTTTCCTTTGGGCCAGTCACCGACGCAACGCAGAGTTAAACTGAGAGAACAGCTATGTGAAACAGGTTTGCTGAGACCTTAGAGAGATCATGGCTTTTAAACCCAGTGAGCAGGAACAGGGTTAGAGAAAGATTAACCCTCCGGGAGTCTGGCTGCCCTAACCCTTACCGCATTAAAAAACAGGTGCACATCTGCAAAAGCTAACCCAGCAAAACCAACGGGAACCCCCTCCTCCAGTGAACACAACAGGCCTCAGCCCCATAGAGGAACTCCGAGACCCTGCTGTGAATGCGTTGGGCCACCGAAGGTCCCCTTTGCTGGCAGCAGCGGGGAGGGAACCACCAACAGCGTCTCCCGCCTGCCTCCTCCGGCCAGCGTGGCTGCCCGTGCTGGCAAAAACCTCTGCTCCCATCAGGTCTTGCTGCTTGAAAGTCGTTAAACCGGGGTGAAATTTTCATCTCCTCTTTTTCAGCTGAACTTACCTGAGTCAGACTTAATTCCTCACATAAGCTAAGGCCCCTTCAAATCCTAGGCTTCGAGGAAGGGGAAACGTCCTTTTTTCTTGGCTGCACCAGTGCATTCAAGCAAGCTGCGTGTTTTCCCGGCCGTGCCCCAGGCGCGTCTCCCGCTCCGCTCCGGGGGCACCTCGCCACGCTGGCGCGGCCCCCCCAGCGCTCACGTTTTTTTTTACAGTGACTTCCAGGTTATTTTAAGTCTCATGACACCAGGACTCCTACTATATTTATGTTTGTCTCTTGGCACTAGTAGTCAACTGATTGCTTAATCAAAGCCCTGTAAGTATTCAACTGGAGCACATACGGTGTCTGAAAAAAAAAAAAAAGAAACGAAGAAAGGGAAAGGGAGAGGAGAGCGGGAAAACATGGTATCAAACTGCACACACAAAACGATTTTTTTTTTTTATTATGAAAACAAAACAAATGCCCCAGGACCAGGGTCCATGATTACCAGTAACAACAAAGATTACTTTCTAACTCCTTTTTTAAAATTCTGTTGTGTTTGAGGCCAGCAATTTGCAATAAACAAGCTAAACTACTTACATTGACTTTTTTTTTTTCAGTAACTGACATTTACAGGAATATACTAGAAATGGCACTAAAAAGTTTTAAGAAAAAGCGTTACGGTAAATTTGCATGCACATCATACAGAAAAGTAACTTTTTTTAAATATTAAAAAAAAAAAGAAAAAACAAAAATACAACAACAAATCTTTCCGGATTGGTTACGCCAGTATCAGGGATAAGTTCTAAGTGGCCTGTGTCAAATCCTAGCTGGTGGTTTATTTTTAAAAATGATATTTAAAAAGATATGCAAATTTTTTTTTTTTAAAAAGCATCTCACTGTTTTACAAGCAAGATAATGCTGCTAGTGTAATGAATCCTCACCCTAAATTTATCTTCAACAACGTAGAGCTTGCCCACTGTTAGCCCTAGTGGTAACTGCTTGTGTTTGAGAACACGTATTTTAAAATCCAGTACTAAAAAGGCTGTGGTTTTCCTTTGTCATGCCCCAACTCCTTCCCCCTAGCTCCAACCCCAACTTTAAAAAACATCATTCCTTTCAAAACAAGGAAAAAATTAAAAACCTGGTCTAAGAGTCCTCGAAACAGTGCAAGAACTAGATTAGCCAACTGCAGTCTGATTCTACCACCTAGAGAACATGGAAAGAGACCTCACTGGGTAACTAATTTGTGCGTGTGCACGTGTATATAAATATATATACACACACGCACACGCGTGTTCGTGTATGCACGTGAATGTGGGCGCGTGCACCTATTACACACACCCTCACAAACAACAGCTACATCGTTCTGAAACATCAGTTCTACAGTTACAAACCCTGTCGGTAGGAGAGTTTAAAATCACATCGATACAAAACTGAAATGATTGCGTATCGACAACATTTGGTTAGCAGAAACCTGTCATACTCCAGAGACTCCTTCAGCAGCTGAACTGGAGCCTGAACCCAGGGGACGCTGATCTCCCGCTGGCCCCAACGAGCCTACATCTGAGGGTATGCCAAGAAACAGGCTGACTTTACAATCGGGTACAATTTGACAAAGCTTTCAAAGGTGCAGTAATGCTGGTTGATTGACTCTAGATCTGGTCGTTTGTGTGTGTGTATTGAAACAGGAATTCATCAGAAAAGACAGTTTCAACAGAACTATTTGCGTGTATGCATACGAAATCATACTGATTTCGGTGAAATTTCCCTTCGAAAACAAAGTTAAACTTTGTTCATTCAAGAAAAATGCTACTATAAACATTTCAATTTTTTTTCATTCTAAAGTTTAAAAATGTGATTTCAAGTGTTATTTATATGCTTGATCATTTTCAAGTTATCTCATGACATCCGTACTGACATGTCATGCAATACAAACTCAAATAAAGGTTCTATTTTTTGTTTCCAACTCATTAAGGGCAGCTGCTACTTACTATGGACTGAAAATATCTCTTCTTTCCTGGAGACACTCTGATCTGAAGATACAAGAGGCACCACTACTGACATGTCGGGAGATAATGAAAGCTACAAACAATATGAAAATGAAAAAAAAAGTAAGAACAACCTTTTGAAATGAAGAGTTACTTTTTTTTTTCCCCCCTGAAACGAGTGGCACACCAAGACGGATTGCTCTTGTGAACTGCTATTTAGCCGGAAACACCTTTGCTTCCACGAAAACAACGCTGAAATTTCCCACTGAATGGAAGCCCAGGTCCCAGTTGGCCATGCCAAGGATAAGCGCGTTGTTCTTCACGTTGCCATTTTCTGTTGTTTCTTTCCTTGCAAATCCCCAAGCTAGGCCAGCGCCGACCAAAGCGGGGACCTTCCTCCAGTGCTGCAGCTGGCCCCTTCCCCATCACGTCACGCCTGAGCCACAATCCTTTGACTATACCTTTCCCCCTTCGGTGGCGGTGGGACAGATGTCCGAATCCTAGAGGAACACCTGCCCCCTCGCCGTCCGAACGGCTGCTGTTCTCTGCACAGGAGCAAAATTTCTTCCAGAGCAAACACCACATGAAGTCAATATTATATCTCAGAGTAATGCACACGGGAAAGGGTTTCAGCAGGGGAGGGGGAAAAAAAAAATAGGAGCTTATTTATCCACATTGTCAAGGTATTGAATTGGCTGGTAATTATTTTAATTAAAGTACTATTCAGTTTTGATAATGCAAGTCTCAGGTAACAGCAGAAACAAACAAACAAAACCCAAGCCCGTTTAAAAAAAAAAAAAGATCTCATTAGGTGTATATTACATTTCCTCAGAGTAAATTCTGAAAATATATTACTAAGGGTCTGTCTAGGGAAGAATTCAGAGCAGAATTTAAAAAATACAGGAACTGAAGATTGACTCCATTTAGGGACTGTTAATGCAACAGGAAAATCATTAATTTCAGTAAGAATCAGGATACCCTAGTTTATCTACTTTCAAATCCTATGGGAAACTCAACCTGCAAAGATTCAGAGGGCTCCTGCCAACGGGCCAAGCACTCCAGTGATTTCAGAGCGGAGCATCTCCGATTCATCCCTTAGCAGAAAACGATAATGCCCTTCTGGAGCAAGCTGTGTAGAGCGTGTTACTGTCACTGTTAAAAAGACATGGACAGAGCCACATCAGCTGTACGAAACAGGCACGTGAACACCCCCTGCTGCACACGCCTTTCCTGAAATGCTGACCTTTGAAGACGCACGTTTAAAGACTGATGCAAGAATGAGCTTCTTGACAGTCCCATTGCCTAAAGGTCTAGCTAGAAAAACCTCAAGGAACAGGCAAGGAGTGATGGGCAGCTGAACGCGGATGCCCTAAGAAGTGCAAACCCTGGAGCGCTACCAGGCCGGCCCTTCGCCTCCCCGCCTCGCGGACAAACGGACATGCCAGACACCGCACAGCCCAGCACACGGACGGACTCCTTATCCCAGCTCTCGGAGGCTGAGCCAGCAACAAAATCACGGGCTGGGACTTACGAGTCCTCCAGGGCCATGCACGTTCGTGACAAATAAAAGCTGGTGCAATCTGCAACTCCTTATGAAGGACAAGCATCACCATCGGGCCTCTGGCAAGCTGCTAGCAGAGAGCTCAGCAGGATGAATTTTAGGGCTGCCACGCGGTAGAGAGGCAGCCTTGGGGACTGGTGCTGGGAGAGGGAAAGGCATAGCTTTCTGTTAAACTCTGTATACATTTTTCTTTACAATAAAAAGTTAAAAAGTTAAGAATTTACAATAAATTTCTGCCCCTCAGGTTACAAATTTTATATAGTTATAGAACTGGTATTTTCCTAAAACTGGATTAGAAAAGAAAAAAAACCAACACTGTTCTATCAAAAAAGAGGGATAAAAGACCTGTGGAAATATCACAGAGAAAATAATGTGCTGCATCAATTTTATCTACCTGTACGTCTCCAAAATCTGTACAAAACAGGAAAAAGGGAGCTGGAGTGAAGAGAGAGAAGAGAGAAACAAAACCAAAAATGAACACACAAAACATGATAGAGCACCAGACACACAAATAGACTGGACTGTAGCACCTACAGGTAAGTCCAATGTATTTAAATAATGTCTCAGATTTTTATTTGCTATTTTGTTGGTTTTCTTAAATCTAGTTCAAACCACTTTAAAAAGTCTGCATTTCTGCTGCGCTTCATAATGCAGATTTGCTTTTGTGTTTTTTTTAATAAGTTTTAAATGACCAATGGTGTTAATAAATAAAGTACTTATATATACATGAAATTAGGGACAGTGAAAACAGAGTGTTGCAGCAGTGCAGGTCAAAACATTAGGCTGGACTCATAAAAAAATTGCTAGCCTTAAAAAATTTTTTTTCTTCCTTTTTCTCCCCTCTTTTTTTTCTTTTTTCTTTTTATTATTATTATTATTATTGAGGTAAACGTTTCAGTGTCTGGAAACCTGCACTGCGCGACACAGAAGCAGCGTTCCCTTCCTAGGAGCTCATTGCTGATACAAAGATAACGAAAAAAACCCCAAACAAAACCAACATCCCTCTCCAATTCCCCTGCCAGCTCAGCCTCAGTTGGAGCTCAACTGCTCCTTTATTTTAAGCCCAGACTGAGGTGTTTGTCATGGAGAAGGTACTTAAGCACGTGTCTAATCATGAGCACATGACTCGTCTTGGTCACTCCGCAGGATTTGCTCTTTGAGGTCCAGCTGAGAACTTTCAGCCAAAATTTGTTTTCAATTAAAAAACTTTCATAGTGTGTCTTTTTCCTGGAAGCTATCTACTTTTTGTCAAAAATAACAATTCCAGGAAACACGGAGAGTATCCTTCGCTCCCTTCTTCCCAATGTTTCCACAAGAAAAATGAAAGAGTTGAGTGGAAAAACAACAAAAAAAAATGCAACCACTCCTATTGCTCATGTGCTTAAAGTTAAGCTCATGCTTAAACACCTTCCTGAATCAGGTGCCTATGCCCCTACCAAGATTTAAAAAAAAAAAAAAAGGCAAAATAAAAAATACATGTTAACAATCCACAGTACATGAGAATTTTTTTTCTTTTTTGTTTTTATGTAAAAAGATGATAGCATCTGACATTTTCATCACACTGTAGACTTCGAGATTAAGAATACTAGTGCTAATAACAAATACACCAACTAGTTCGAAAGCTAACATCTTTCAGATACAGTACCATTTTACAAAGATTTCTTTTAAAAAAAGACTTTTTTTTTTTCCTTGTGTGAGCCAAGTGGGCTTATTAAAAGGGAACGTTTTGGGGGAGAGGGGAAGGGGTGGCAGGGAAATGTACTACAAACCTCACAGGACTGTCTAGTGATCTCTTGCTAAGAGCTCAAAAGTTCTTCCATTTCCCACCAACCATCTTCAGTTAAAATGCATTTTAGAGACTTTATGCAAAGGGAACTATTTGTCATAAAGTCTAGTTAACACTCACACACACGCAAAGATCTCTGACCTATTAAAAGTGCCCCCCTAAAAAAGGAAGATACCTTGTATAACACTGAATTAA